ATAGAATTGTAGAGAAAGGTCTTAGCTTTAATTCTATGATTTGTTTTTTTGGTCATACATTTCCATTTTTGGAGAGGGTATAGGATCTACACAGCCAATAAAAAGTTCAGCGACTAAGTGACTTGCACTATAGTTTCATTGCTTGTAATATCCTCAAATTTAAACAATCTCGTAATTCTCTATATAATTTAAACCAGTCAGTGGCGTATTTTGTAAGATCAGGATTCGTTGGGGCGCCAGCTTGTTCACCCACAAATAGCTCTTCTTTTGTATCCCAAGTCCGTGCCAAAATATCTGCAAACTTCCCATCAACAACTTTTTCAAGTGCATGATTTAATCCAAAGTTTTTTCGATATTTTGAAGCATAAACTGGGACCTCCAGACTAAAAAATTCACTAAGATCAATTCAATGTAATATTAAAATTTTCCTATCGAACCCCCAACACTTACATTCTCCAATCTAAATTTGCAAAGTATTGTAATGCCTTTGAAAAGAAGCGATGTGCAAATTCTGCCCAATAATGATGCTCAGATGTATCTGGTGAGCTGATATCCGGCAGTGGTTTTAGAAAGGATTCGATCCTATAAAATGAGATGAAAAGTTGAACATTAGTTGAACCAAGCAATGAATAGATGATATGAATTAAACAATTGTCTTTTTAAATGTGTAATGCTTACAGTGGTGACATGACACAATTGAGGTATTTTTTGAACTTAATAGCTTCATCGCTATCACTATCTTTGACAGCATTAAGCTCATCAGTCACCTTGACCCAATCATGTATTGTTTTCGGTGACCCTCCACTTGAAATAGTCTCCTATAAGTATGAACAATTGATTTGTAAATGATGATGATGATGATGATGAGACAAGCATTGAAGATCTTATAAAAACAAATAACATTTTATGTATGCTTACCGAAAAGTAATCATTTAAAATTTGCTTCCAACATTCAGGAATCTCAGCTATTCTTTTTGGTTTAATCGACATAAGTTTAATATATCGTTCAAGTGGCATGGAATTGGAAAATCCACTCTCACCACAAATGTCCATTACATCATCATTTGTACATCTATACATTAAAGATATTAAGATATTAATGCTTCAGTGCAAGACTTCGTGTGGCATTATATAGTAAACACTCTTTTAAAGGCAAAGCAGAGAAGGTAGATTGAACACTTACGAATATGGATTATTTAATTGTGTTTCTTTGTATTCATTGAAATATATAATGAATTCCTTGAAGTACTGTTCAATGTTAGACCCATTCAGTATTTGGAATGTGCGCACAAGAATATTTAAGCAATAAATATTTTCAGAGTAAAAAAAAAAAATAATACTTTTGATTCATCTGGACTTGCAAGGCTTTCGGCAGCAGCTCTGAGTAGTTTATCAGATTTTATTTGGTTCACTGGAGTCCTACAACCTGAATTATCGTCAATTATATCTTCTACATAATGGAAGCCGATGTCAGGTTAACGTAAAAGTTTTAGGACAGTTGATAAATAGAATGAGCAAATTCTCACCATCAGATAAAATTTCTTTGTCGTCATCACTAATGTAAACAAGATTTTTGTTTTGTGATTCAATTGATGGTCATAGAATTTTATTGTAATTATTCTTGAAAATAATAACTAGAGTGATGAGTGGTGGGCGATAACCATCACCACCATCCTTAAAAGACTTACCCTCTTTCAAATTCTTCGCTTTGGGTTTTTCTTCTTTTGTTTTTTTTCTGATCAAACGGCGACATCTTTAAAAATTTTTTAGAAAAAAAAAGTTTAATTAATCGACGCGTAGCACAATTATTTATCCTATTGTTTTTTTTTTTGGTAGGACAGATGCGAATTGATTTTTTTTCTTGGAAAAACAATTTATTTTTTAACAGAGTCCAAGGTGAGTGTTGTGGTTTGGTTTGGGTCTCCTAAAGAAGAAATGTTAATATAGAGGTACTATTTTTTACCTGTATTGATATTTTTTGGTTATTGTAAATATTTTAATTGGAAATCAAAACGCGGAGCAGATCATTGTTGGGGTAATTACAAGATTTTCATTGATAATATTCTGCTTTTCGTAATCAATAATATTAATATATTAATATTACTATATAATCACAAGAAGATGTCAAGGCAGTACACCATTGAATATGAAACATTTCAAATATGCAATGTTTGATTATTGGAAATTGGCAGGCGTTGAAGCACACACGCTACCTTGAACACTTTACAGCCATTCTCACTTGTTCCTTGTGTACACAAGGCTAATCTGACCACGGTGCTCCCGAAGATATAATGATGCAACTGAATTTTCAGGAGGGGGGCGCAAAGCTCTGGAGTTTACCAAGATTGCATCAATCATCAATGATGCTTTCACTAATCTCCCCAGATCAGAGATGGTTGCTGGCATGCTGGTTGAAAAGTAACCTGTAATGATCCCACCTCTATGGCAAGGATGGCACTGTGACCAAGTCACAACTCTGCTGATGAATTGTAATATTAGGTGCACATAAAAATCCAGATCCATCAAAGCAACGAGAATTTGCAACTTGTTTCAAGCACATGAGATTGCAATTCAGAGCTGGGTCGGTGGCCCTGAAATTGCATTTGGCTCTGTTGTTAAGAGGAAAGTTGTAAAATAGTGTTTGTTTTGTATAATCATTTTCGTAAATGCTCTGTTTTTTTGATATAACCAATTTATAATTTTGGGTAGGGGTTTTTGCCCAATCATTCCTCTGTTATATAGATTAAAATTATCGCATGATTATATACATCCCTGTCAGCAATATGGCCAACAAGAAAAAAGTCATAAAATGGTTCGGATTTTGTTTGGTATGTTATAAATTAATCATTTTCATAAATTCTCTGTTTCTCTTTAATTTTTGTTTGGCCAACTGAATTTGTTATTTAAATGAATGGAGTAGGGTTGTTGGTGAGTAGGCGTGTCACCAACAAGACAGCAACCCAGGACTCAAAACTTTGAATTCAAGGAAAATCTAAATCAGTAACCCATGTTGCAAACTTCAGAGTCGGAGAATTTTGAATCAGTTGAAGACACTGACTTTATTCTGGCGAGAGGGATATAACACAAAGTCACCACCACACAAGCATCAACTATCATTGATCAATGCCCATATGGAATCGGCAGCCTGGTCTGAGAGGGAGATAAGGGAAATATTTGTCCAAAGCCTTCCAACATGTTCAACCCTCTTTCACCTGTGGGAAAAAATTCCATGGTGCTGAATTGTGCTTGATTGCACCGTGATTGCATGTTTGTGATAGGAAATTTTTAATTAAATCTGATACCTGTGATCAACATCAGATTTATTATTCAGAAAAAATAATTCATTCTGTGAATCCCAAAGATTTGGGTAGACATGAATTATTAAAAGTTTCATTCATGCATGGTCTTGTGTGATGCAATTGTTTGTTATATCAATGATAACATCAAATGTATTAAACAACCATCAAAATATTTAATGGATGGAAGCATTCACATACAAAGAAATGATTAAATAGCTAAGTCTTTTTTGTTTTGCTTTATCAAAATATATGATTAATTATATTTAAAATATACAATAAAAAAATCACATGACTGCACCACTATGTCAAGCTAATT